CAGATCTCCTCAAAATTTAAACTAACAATGTCCACCTAAAACTAAACAGCAGTGTAAAGTGGCCACAGCTGGCCCTAAACTGTTTATCACTAGGAAAAAGGCCTGAACGGGGATTGTGGAGCAGGACAAGCAGACAAAAAAGGAAATAGGCTGAAAATTAAATCCTGAGTTACATCACAACGACCACAGTGGCAACTTGAACTTTCTCAGGAAGATGAGTGAAAGGGAAGCCCATCTCCTGATCACATCTACCTGGAGGCAATCAGAAAGCATAAAAAAATACCTAAATACACACTCGTCTAACTGTTAAGGCCACAGGTAACTAACTCCTGAATATGCCCCACAAAATGAAACAGATGACCATATCAGTACATGTCCAGAAATGGGATAAAGTGACTGAGGCAAATGAGCTGGAAGTAGACCTACACTCCATACTGGAAGATGGACAGGCTTTGGAAATGCCTGAGAAGGAATTCAGAAAAAATTATAAAATGTATCAAAACACTATACAATGGAGTTGAGAAAAATAAGGAAGAAGTCAGGGAAGCACTACAGGAACAATCAAATAAGATAGATACAGCATTGGAAATAATTCAAAACCTACAGACAGAGGTCCAAATGATTAATAATAGAATATCAGAAATAGACAATATACTAAAAGGGCAAAGGAGTAGAATTGAAGAGATAGAAGCCAGAACTAGTGAGCTAGAAGATAAATCTCTCAACGCTACTAAGATAGAAGAGCAAGCACAAAAAAAGATTTTAAAAAATCTGAAGAAGGCCTAAGATTCATCTTGAACAACATGAAGAGGCATAACCTAAGAATTATCAGCATTCCAGAACAGGAAGAAACACAAATCCATAGAGGAGATAGTTAAAGAGCTTCTAGAAGAAAATTTCTCTAACATCCTGAAAAGCGAAAAGATAAGCATTCAAGAAACTCAACGAAACCCAGGAAGGATAGGCCCTAAAAGAAAATCACCAAGACATGTAATAATCAAGCTCTCCAATATCAAAGATAAGGAGACAATCCTGAAACAAGCTAGGGATAAATGAAGTGTAACATACAAAGGCAAGCAAATCAGATTAAGCTCAGATCTCTCAACAGAAATCATGCAGGCCAGAAGGCAATGAGGAGATATATATAAAACCCTGAAAGAAAAAACTGCTACCTAAGAATCCTCTACCCAGCAAAGATGTCAATCAAATACAATGGTGTAATCAAAACATTCCAGGATAAACAGAAGCTAAGGGATTTTACCAAAGCCAACCCTGCTATGAAAAACATCCTAAAGGAAGTTCTGTGGACTGAGAATCAACAAGAATAGACAACAACTAGAGAATGATGTACGTGGCAGCAGCATCCTGAATTCAATCGACAAGAATAGAATAAAATTGTAAGAACAGAGGATCTGGGAGGTCAGTCTATGATCAAAACAATTACCATGTGAAAAAAGGTAAACACAGAGGAACAGAGATCCAGGTGGTAGAAAGGTAGATTACAGGATAAAATACAGTCTTAAATGGAGGGAAGAATAAATTAATGGATATAAATTAACCACAACAATGGAGTTGGGGTGGGGAGTTTAGTTCAGGTGTTGGGGAGGGCAATACAAGGAGGAGGAGGAGGTGGAAGAACAAGATAGATAGGGGAACACTGAGACAGGTTTGCATGGCCTAAGTGGGACAGAGGTAAATAGTGATGCATACTCAACCTTGGAACTACAGGGCTCTGGGATACACGGATCTAGGTATAGCTTGAAGAGGGGAAATCAAACTAAAATGCTTGACTGTCTTATGAATATTGGTTTCCCTTGCCTACTATTGTAAAATAGACACTTGAGTGGGAGAGAAAGGAATGTTGGGAAACATAATTAGAGAAAACTTGTAAGTCTGTCTTCAGCCTATAACTGATTGGAATACCTAAAAGGGGTTCTACAACTTGCCCAGTGAAATAGGCCTCGTGCAAAGCCTTTATAGAGTATAGGACCTTTGGTGGAATCCTGAGTCCCATCCACAACTTTATGAGGTGAGACATCGCCACTAGAAAGGACAAGCAGACTGGAACAGCTACAGTGACAGAAGATACATCTTCAAAGAAAGATCATCAGGAAAAACCCAAAACAAAAATGTCAGCATGACTGGCTACTACAAGAATAAGCCAGGAAGACACCAAGGCTAGCAATCAAGTTCCTTCAGGACAAACTCCTCTCTAAGACTGAAACTCAATGGGAACACACAAACAAACATGTAAGTTTGCTGGCAACCACATTTGTCAACTGGTGAGTGGAAGAGGGGGAAAGGCATCAATGAAGAAAGGGCTGAGTTCAACCATAATCCATTGACTCCTGTTGATCTGAAGATGAGAGAGAGAAGAGGAAGGGCTGGTTAGTTCAAAGTGTGGTGAGAGCTGGGGATACTTGATCCCATAGACAAGGACATAGCCAAAGAGGGCTAGAGCTGAGAGTGAAGCATCCAGCTGATATGAAGTGAGGGGAGATGCACAAGAACACCCAGACTTGCAGACAGTACCCATTTGACCTAGGCTCAATGGCTTGATAATCACAACTCAACTAGAGGAAGATTTTAAAAAAAAAGAAAAAAAAATTTTTTTACAACATGGGTAAATTGCTACAATTTGATGAACCTAACCTATACTCATGGAGGTAGTAACTCTAAATAACCAACAGAGAGAGAAGGAGCCTTCACATTAAGTATCAATGCTATCCCCTCTGTACACAGGGTAGATAGGGACGGGCAACCTAGACATTGGCTACCTAAAATGAGGGGGCAATAAAAGCATGAAGTGACTGGCTTACAAGGTTTCAAGAGGAAGTTTAGTTTAAGAGTGTGTGGGGGCAAAAGAATCTCCACTGAATAGTTTTCATCTTGTCTAGATGGGCCTGGTGAAGAGAGATGGGGATAAAATTCGTATGATTCAGTAGTGGATAATTGTTATAATGACTAATTGCGACTGTCACAATTGTAAAGGTAGAAGTTTTGTAACAAAAACAGGGGAGTGGTTAATCTTACAGTCCAGAAACAAAGGACACTCGGACCATCAAGAGCACAAGCAGACTGCAGGGAAGCCAGAGACAGAGACAGAGATGGGGTCATGGAGAGAGGGAGTGACTGAGGACTCTAGATTCATGGGAAGAGAGGAACTAAGAGCTGGTGGCTAGGAGGCAGACTTGCAGAATGTGCCCTTTGGAGATGTAAATTATTATGTATTCCTGGGTATTTAAAAATAAAAGAGAGAGAGAACTAAAGTGAATAGAGAGAAATACTGTTAACTGATGGTACATGGAGGGGATTATAATCATTGTAAGGAAACAAGTTGCATGATTTGTTGAATGTAAAACTGATGATGTGCCCTGTAAACTTTCACTCAGTTCATAATAAAAACCTTAAAATATATATATATATAGACTGTAAAGCTGTGTGTCTGCAGACAGGAGGTTGGCTAGCAGAATATGCCCTTCGGACATTTAAATGAATATATAATTTTTATTTTGTATGTGTATCTCAAATATTTTTGCTTTGTTCATTTATGAAATCTAAGATTTATAAGGGAAGTCACAGGGAGGAAGTAAGATGTATAAGGGAAGTTGCAGGAAGGGGACTGTAATTAATCATTGAGAGGAAACAAAGCGTAAAATTTGGTGAATGTAAAGCTGACGATCTTGTCTGTTAACCTTCACTTGATTCCCAATAAAACATAAAAATAAAAATAAAAATTTTAAAAAAGGAAGAAGAAGATGATGAATGTGGCATCAGAATTGGAGAAAGACTCATTAAACACCTGCAATAATGCAGATGATACAACCTTGCTTGCTGGAAGTGAAGAGGATTTAAAATACTTACTGATGACGATCAAAGACCACAGCCTTCAGTATGGATTGGACCTCAATATAAAGAAAATAAAAATCCTCACTCCTGGACCAATAAAAAACATGATGATAAATGGAGAAAAGATTAAAGTTGTCAAAGACTTCATTTTGCTTGGATCTACTATCAACACTCATGGAAGCAACAGTCAAAAAATCAGACAACGTATTGCATCAGAAAAATCTACTTACAAGATCTCAAGCATTCAAGAACATAAATACCAGTTTGAGAATTCAGGTGGGCCTCACCCAAGCCATGATATTTTTAATTGCCTCATTTACATGTAGAAGTTGGACAATGAATAAGGAAGATGGTAGAAGAATCCATGTATTTGAGTTATGATTTTGGAGAAGAATATTGAAAATGCAATGAACTGCCAAAAGAACAAACAAATCTGTGTTGGAAGAAGTACAGTCAGAATGTCACTTAGAAGTAAGTATGGCAAGACATTGTCTCTCATACTTCAGACATATTATCAGGAGGGACCAGTCCCTGGAGAAGGACATTATACTTGGTAAAGTAGCGGGTCAGTGAAAAAGAGGAAGAGCCCAATGAGATGAATTGGCACAGTGGCAGCAGCAATGGGCTCAAGTGTAACAGCAATTGTGAGGATGGCAAAGGACCAGGAAGTGTTTCATTCTGTTGTATATAGGGTCGCTATGAGTCGGAACCAAGGGAACACCAACAGTAAAGTATAGACCTCATTCTGATTTTACCAGTTCGTCATTAGTCCTTTTTTCCTGGTCCAGAATCCAGCACACCATCTCACATTGCACATAGTTATTTCTTCATAGTCTCCTCTAATTTGCGATGGTCTCTTGGTCTTTCTTTGTCTTTAACGATCTTTACACTTTTGAAGTTCTTTTGTAACGGACCTCAATTGGCACAAATACTGCAGAAGTGATGTGCCCGTCTCAGTGAGTCATAGAGGAGACATGTGATGATAAGTCTTATTACTGGTGACAGGATACTTGGATCAGGTGGTATCTGCTGGGGTTCTCCACTATAAAGTTACTGTATTTCCCTTAGCAATTAATATGTACCTTATGGAGGTATACTTTGAGACCTATGTAGTATTCTTGAGTATATACCTATATTCATTCTATTTGCAGAAAACTGGCAAATATAAACAGTGTGCTAACATGTCCACTCGGGAGGAGTGTAACTGCACAGATGATCAGAAGATTTCACATGCTGTTGCTTTCTCAGATTGCAAAGAAAAGGTAAGTTACATTTTCACTACCTGAAGACAAAGTACTTGCATCTGATATTGCATGATATTGCAATGATATTGATTTCATGATATTGAAATATGCTTTTTGATTAAACATGAAAAATGAACACATAGAAATAACCTCTTATAATGTCACAGCAATAAATCCTATGACACAGAGCTGAAAAGATCTGGATATAAACGTACCCTGACAAGTCAGTTCACCCATCTATGAAATAAAATAATCGTGCTAGTGTGGCATGTCCACTCCACAGCGCTCTGCTTTGTCTGTTTCTTTTTAAGACTTATACCACGTTTGATCTATCTATTCTGTTCTATCATATCATGTTACATTATAATATTCACCCAGACCCTTTCTACCAAAATGATAGATAATTTATATTAAAAGTAAT